GGCAGTGATTCTTCCAGGGGAGAAGGTCCGGCACCCAGCAGGGACCTTCAGGTTGGGGGGTGGGCACTCAGGTCTGCTGGATCCATCAGTATGTCCCTGGGTGTCTCATCCCTAGACCCTAGACCTTAGAGCTGGAAACATCCGGATGCCCTCTGACCTAACCCAGGAGCGCAGAGAGGGTGAGTGGTGTGCCCAAGCTCACGCAAAAGTTGCCCGACACCCCACCCTCCTGATGGCACGCCCCCGGACGGCTCCTCCCTCCCAAGTCGCCTTCTTCATGTCTTTCCTCAGTAACACATCCAGCAGCCCGTCTGGGCACTACCCTCTTTCCCTGAATTGTACCCACTGAACAGACTCTCGGCAGGGAGGTTTGTCTTGGGGAGCCACTGGCTGGGGAGGCGGGTCACCCTGTCCTGAGTCCAAACCCTGCGCCTCACACTTCTCAGAAGAGGGAGGGACCTGGGCAAGTTGGGTCATTTCTTTTTCTTTTCTTTAAAAAAATTCTGGAGGCTCAAATGGTAAAGAATCTGCGTGTAATATGGGAGACCTGGGTTCCATCCCTGGGTCGGGGAGGTCCTCTGGAAGAGGGAATGGCAACCTGCTCCAGTATTTGTGCCAGAAAAATCCCATGGATAGAGGAGTCAGGCGAGCTACAGTTTTAAAAATATTTTTAACTGTAGTAAAATACACATAACATAAATTATACTGTCTTAACCATTTCTAAATATACAGTTTGGTGGTATTAAATACATTCATAATGTTGTGCAACCTTCACCACCAACCATCTCCATAATCTTCACCTTGCAAAACCGAAACTGTATGCAACAATAACTTGCATCCCCCACCCCTGGCCCCTGAGCCTTTGGCAACCAGCCCACTTTCTGTTTCTATGAGGGTGACTACTCTAGGGACCTCGTGGAAGTGAAATCATAGAGAGTTTCTCTTTGGGGCACTGGATTATTTCAGTTAGCAAAATGGCCTCAAGTTCCATCCATGGAGCCAGCGTCAGAATTTCCCTCCTTTTTAAGGTTCCGTAGGATTCCATTGTACAGATCCACTTTGTTTATCCGTTCATCCTCAATGGACTGTTGATGGGGTTCTCCTTGGCAGGAAAGTTGTGACAAATCTAGAGTGCATATTAAAAAACAAAGACATCACTTTGCTGACAAAGGTCGTACAGTCAAAGCTGTGGTTTTTTCAGTGGTCATGTACAGATGTGAGAGTTGGACCATAAAGAAGGCTGAGAGGTGAATAATCGATGCTTTCAAAATGTGGTGTTGGAGAAGACCCTTGAGAGTCCTTTGGACTGCAACGAGATCCAACCAGTCCATCCTAAAGGAAATCAACCCTGAATATTCATTGGATGGACTGATGCTGAAGCTGAAGCTGCAATATTTTGGCCTCCTGATGCGAAGAACTGATTCATTGGAAAAGACCTTGATGCTGGGAAAGATTGAAGGCAGGAGGAGAAGGGGACAACAGAGGATGAGATGGTTGGATGGCATCAACATCTCAACGGACATGAGCTTGAGCAAATTCTGGGAGATAGTGAAGGACAGGGAAGCCTGGCGTGCTGCAGTCCATGGGGTTGCACAGAGTCAGACACAACTGAGCGACTGAACGGCAAACAACTCAGTGGGCCCTTGGGTTGCTCCCCACTTTTGGCTGCTATGAATAGTGGTTCACTTCTTTTTAAGCCTCTTTCCTCATTTGGAAAATGGTGTCCCTGTCCTGATATTTTAGATGAATTAATTTCCTCGACATTTGCTTAATAAGCCACAGAGGTCTCATAAATGGGGTAAAAATGCTTGCATTTGCCGAGCACTCTCTGCCTGCCCGGTGCCCTTCTGGACTTTATGTGTGCTGACTCATCAAATTCTTACAGCCCTGTGAGGCAGGTGCCCTTGTTATCCCATTTTACCGAAGCAGGGAGAAGCAGTGACCTTGCCCAAGGTCGCAGCAAGGAAGTGGCAGAACTGAGACAGAAAGTCACAGGCTCCAAAGTCCAGTATCTGTCAATTACATGTTCTCCCAAGTGACTAGGTTTTTCCCGTCCACGGTGCCGAGGGCAGCGTGTTCACAAATTCACAGGGAATCGTCCTTACGACCGCTGGCTGCTGACTCCCTGGCTCATCCCAAGCATTCCTGGTGGCGGGGAGCCAGTCACCGAGGGGTTCAGTCCTGGGAAGGAAGATGGAGAGAAGCACCAGAGGTCTCTGCGGACAATGTAGTTGGCAGAAGCACACCCAGATGTTCCTGAAAGTAGAAATAGTATGGACCTAACAGAAGGAGAAGATACTAAGATATTCCTTTAACCCAACTTTTTTTTTTTTATTAAAATTAAAAAGAAATTTTTTGCTACTCCATGTAGCATGTGGGATCTTATTCCCCAATGAGGGATTGAACCCTCCCCCCTGTGTTGGAAATGCAGGGTCTTAGCCACTGGATCACCAGGAAGTCCCTCAACTTTTGAAAAGCAAAACAACAAAAAAACACACTCCTGTAGAAACTCCTATTTCACACATCTCCTTTGAACAAAACACTAAAAACTACATTCCATCTAGTTGACATCATCAAGGGGAATATCTAACAATATTCTTAGGGAATAGCACATTAATTTAATGCCAAGAAACATAAGACTCCATCATCTAACTTTATTTCCACTGTCAAATGGGAGGAAGAATACACATGTTTCCAGGGGAGACTCACCTGAAGGGGAAAGCTGATGTACAGTCAGACATCCTTCCCATCGGGGGCTTCATACAGCATTTTGAAGAGGTTTGGGATTTCTCCCTCAATACCATCCGGCCTGATTACCCTGCTGACTGGCACAGGGCCCACTTCTACAGCAAAGGTGCTTGTGGGTCCTCTGAAAAGCCCTTTCCTTCTCCTGGGTCAGCCCAATATTCCAGCTACCTTCCGACCTGTTCTGGGATAATTGTCAGTTTCACCAGCCTTGAAGAAATCAGCTGGTTCTTGGCATCCAGGAAAACTAACACACTTCTTCAGCCCCCTAATCTGGTTGGCAGTTCAGGGTGGTAGCGAAGCAGTTGTTTGTTTATCATTGCTATTTTCTGTGGAGGGGATGGTAACCACCTAGGGCTAGGACCACCTGGTCCCTGACTAGGCTCTTGTTTTCTGAGAGCCGGCTGCGCCCCAGGCACTCCCACTCTCTAATCTGCTTAGTGACCCCTTGAGACCTCTCCCTCCTCTGCATCTGAGGACCAGCCACCCCCCCAGGGCCACTTGGCTTGAAACAGGACTTGAACCTAGCTCTGGCAGTGGGAAAGAATCCACTGGCAATTCAGGGGACATGGGTTCAAGCCCTCGGTCAGGAAGACCCCCTGGAGGAGGAAATGGCAACCCACTCCAGTACTCTTGCCTGGAGAATCCCATGGACAGAGGAGCCCGGAGGGCTACAGACCATGGGGTTGCAAAAGAGTCGGGCACACAACAGCTGGCTGTGACCAACCCTGAGCCCTTTTCTCATCCCAGGTGTGACTCCAATTCTCTGCCTGGCTTTTCACCTTGGATGTCCTAGATTAAGAGACTCCAAGGGCTGTGGGCGAGGTCTTGGTCAGGGGGTGTGGGCTTGGAGGAGGCAATTCATGGTGAAAGCTCAGCTAAGCCCAGTGCCTATTGGAGCTGACCTGCCAAGATTCTCAGAGAAGGGGGAGCAGTGCCAACTAGAGCTGGGGTATGAAGAAAGGGGCCCGGGGCCCACGAGTAAGGTTTGGGGTTCTTAGTTTAGGGCCCCCATCAGACCTTGGGGCAGGGGTTAAGTGCACGCGGCTTAGTATCGAGGTGGGTCAGTAGAATAATGGGTCCCAAAGCTGTCCACTTGCTCCCTGCAGGAACCTGCGAGTGTGTTAGGTTACACAACAAAAGGAACTTTGCAGATGTGAATAAAGTGCGGATCTTGAGAGGGGGAGATTATCCTGGATTATCTGGCCAATAACCTAGTCACATGAGTCCTAAAATAGTGCAAGAGGGAGGGGGCTTCCCTGGTGGTCCTGTGTTTAAGACTCCTGAGCTCCCAATGCAGGGGGCCTGGGTCCAATCCCTGGTCAGGGAACTAGATCCCACGTGCCACAATGAAGCGTTCACATTGCTACAAAGAAAGATCCTGTGTGCTGCAACGCAGCTGGAAGACTCCGCATGCTGCGGCTAGGACCCCGCGGTGGCCAAAGAAATAAATAAAAATAAATATTTCCTTTAAAAAGTGGAAGAGGGAGCACAGAAGAGTAGGTCAGTGAGAGGAACTTGACCCGCTGGCTTTGAAGACAAAGGGAGGGGCCACGAGGCAAGGAATTCAGGAAGCCTCTGAAAGAAAAGTGAAACTGTTAGTGGCTGAGTCGTGTCGACTCTTTGTGTCCCCATGGACTGCAGCCCGCCAGGCTGCTCTGTCCCTGGGATTCTCCAGGCAAGAACACTGGAGGGGGTCGCCATGCCCTCCTCCAGGGGATCTTCCCGACCCAGGGGTCGAACCCCTGCCTCTTATGTCTCCTGCATTGGCAGGTGGGTTCTTTACCACTGGTCCCACCTGGGAAGCCTAAAGAGCTGCAGGTGCCGGGAACCAGAAGGGGCCTCCGTAGTGCCTGGAGCAGGTACACCAAGGATGGGAGGAGGATGGTGGAGTCTCAGCCTCTGTGAGGCTGCCTCACTGAACTCGGGAGCCCACAGCCTTCCTAAGATGCTGATCTGACGTCTCCTCCCCTGGCTGCACGTCCTCCCGAGGCTCCCCACACCCCCACAGTCCCATTTGGCCCCTGTCGTGGGGCCCCCCCACCCCCAGCAGGCCCCCCACCCTCCAGATCTCGTGGCTAAGAGCACTTCTGGCCTTTGCAGGCGCTGTTCCCACTGCCTGGAACGCGCCCCCAGTCCACGCACCTCTCCTTAATCCCCGCGTTCACCCACATGACCTACTTCTGGAAGCCTTCCCGCCCCACCCCCGGGGCTGGGCCAGAGGCCTCTCTTGCACAGTCCACTGCACCCGGCCAATGCCGGCCCCTCCCGGGCCCCCGCCCCACCCCAGGGCGCTGCCCCGGACGTGGCCCGCCCCCGGGCAGCTGGGCCTGACTCAGCGCGGGCCCTGGGGCCTGGCACGCAGCAGCCTCGGGGAAGGACTCTGCTCTGCAGAACCCAAGTCATGGGAAAGGCATGCCTTGCTGCCCGCAGCCCGGTGGCTGGCCGCTCGGCCCGGCTATTTTTACTTCTTCCCCTGCAGAGCTGAGGCCGGCGGGGCAGGTTCTCAAACAGAACCCGCAAGACCTGCCAGACCCAGCGAAGACACTGCCCCCGCCGCCGGGGAGGCCCCTCCCCGGGACGGAGCGCCGCCCCACGACCGACCGCGAGCAACCGGCAGAGCTGAAGGCTCCGCGCCGCCCACCCGAGGCCCCAGGAGAGTCCTGTAACAGGGAGCTGGTTCCGGGCCTGGATTAGCCATGCCCTCCCTGAACGACCTTGAGCAAGTCATGGCACCGCCCTCGCCTGTCAGGTGGGCGAGAGCCTAGCTCTGTCTCTCTTGCAGGTCATCCCGAGGACAGAATGATCAGTATGATAAACAGATACGTCTAATTTGAATGAGATTTTAAATAGGCAAAATGATCACATGATTCAAAATTCAAAATACAGAAAGAGCTATTTATTTACTCCCAAGTCCAGACCTTGTGTCCAGACACACAGCTACCCTCCCTAGAGTCCTCCTTCCCTGCCTCCCTGTCTCCTTTTTTCTCTCTCTCTACAGATATACAGACATAGCTAGATAGAGAAATAAAGATAGGTAGGTAGATAGATAGAAAGACACAGAGAGAGACTTCCCTGGTGGTCCAGTGGTTACGACTCTGCACTTCCACTGCAGGGGACAAGGGTTCGAACCTCGGTTGGGGAAATAAGATCCCACATGCTGTATCTGGTGGCCAAAAAGAGGGGAAAAAAGGGACAGAGAGAGTGAGCCAGAGGTTGTTATGAGAATCCACGTGTTTATATTTATACACAGGTAAACAAGCCCCAACTGGGGTGCTGGAGAAGACTCTTGAGAGTTCCTTGGGCTGTAAGGAGATCAAACCAGTCAGTCCTAAAGGAAATCAATCCTGAGTATTCATTGGAAGGACTGATGCTGAAGCTGAAGCTCCAATACTTTGGCCACCTGATGCAAAGAACTGACTCGTTTGAAAAGACCCTGATGCTGGGAAAGATTGAAGGCGGGAGGAGAAGGGGATGACAGAGGACGAGATGATTGGATGGCATCACCGACTTAGTGGACATGAGTTTGAGCAGGCTCTGAGAGATGGTGAAGGATAGGGAGGCCTGGCATGCTACAGTCCTTGGGGTCACAGAGTTGAACACTACTGAGCTACTCAACATCAACGACAGGCACGCCTTGTTATTGGAGCAGCTGTTCTGTGCTACACGCTTTGGCAGATAGTTGTGCTCATAAATGTTAGCTTTGATGCTTCACCCTCTGTCATCACCAGCTTCATAACTGTCAGTGTCGGCTACTGTTTATTGACTGAGCACCTACCAGGCACTGTGCTGGGTTCCCTGAAAATATTCCCATTTTATGGATGAGGAAACCGAGGCTCAGGGAGGCTGGGTGACTTGACCAAAGTCACACAGCTGGCTGATGGCAGAGCCAGGAATCAGCCCTGGCTTTCGACTCCAAAACCTAGTGCTCAGAGCCACTTGGCTTCTGATGACCTGGCTCCAGGCAAGTGTCCCAGGTTCCAACAGTGTCAGGCACACCCAGGCTGTCCCTGTGAGGGCCTCACGTCTCTGGACAAGCTTTAGGGAGGAATGTGTCTGCCCAGCCACCCACACATCTAGTGGGGCCCCACCTTCCTCCTGTAGTCACCAGTGTCAGGCTGGAGGGCCCCGTGCCAGGCAGCCCACACCCTTGTGGTGCCCAAACGTCCCGAGATGACAAAGCCTCGCCCCAAGTCACATAGCAAGGGAATGACAAGCCTAGAACTAGGTTGCAGGGCAGGCCCTGCACAGCCCTGTCATGCGGGAAGTGTTTAATCCACACCAGCGTGGAAAGCTGTTCACTCATGCCTTATCAGAGCACCCCAAAGCATCACTGGGACTCTGGTTCCCATCTAAGGTGCCCTCATTAAACCCTGAGCTTCTGGAAGGCAGGGCCACCCACAGCTTATTCCTCATGGTGGGTGTCCATCCCCACCCTGCCCATCCCAGGACTCCTGGGACGGGGCCTAGAACCAGGCTGGATGGGTGCATGAGAGAATTCTCCTACTCCTAATGTCCCCTGACATTAGGTATCACTGATTTGAATCTTAAACTCATAAAATAAGAACTCTCAGTGAATTTAAATCCTGTAACATCGTGTTCCCTCCACAATAGGACATCCAGGACTTAGAATCAGGGAGCTTCTGTGAATTCAAGTTGTCCCATTTACCAGCTGCGTGGCATTGGGCAAGTTGCTTAACCTCTCTGTGCCTTGGTTCCCCACCTGCAAGATGCAATTAATAAAATCTACTGGACAGGTTGTGGGGAGGGCAAAATCAGATGGTACAGGTAAAAAGCACCCGGCAGATAAGGCTAAAATCTGTGGTATTAACCACAACAACCCTGATACACATTGGGCCCCATTTCTGAGCAGATACTGTGGTGGGCTCTCGATATCCTTTCTGTGGAGGATGAGGTCATTCATAGAAACTTTGCGGTTTGCTCTGACGCTTTCTAACTGTGGTGCTATAGAGGACTCTTGAGAGGCCTTTGGGCAGCAAGGAGATGAAACCAGTCAATCCTAAAGGAAACCAACCCTGAATGTTCATTGGAAGGACTGAAGCTCCAATATTTTGACCACCTGATATGGAGAGCCAGACTCACTGGAAAAGACCCTGATGCCAGGAAAGACTGAAGGCAGGAGGAGAAGGCGGGCGACAGAGGATGAGATGGTGGGATGGCCTCACGGACTAAGTGGAGGTGAATTTGTGCAAATTCCAGGAGATGGTGAAAGACAGAGGAGCCTGGAGTGCTGCAGTCCATGGGGTCACAAAGAGTCAGACACGACTTATTCACTGAACAACACAATGAGTATTTGCACCACAGACATTGTCAGATGCTGCAAATTAGGGCTTCTCCTACCCGGCCCCCGTCCTGCCTGCTCACTGGTACACCACTGGCTGTAAGAATACAAGGGACCTACTTAGATTAGGGGCCGGGGGGACTCAAGGAAGGCTTCTCAGAGTGACTGATATCTGAGTGAGGCCCGAAGACAAACTGGGACTAAACTAGGTAGGGAGTGAAGGGAAGCGCAACTGGGCAGAGGAAATAGCATATGAGGAGACTCTGGGATGAGAAAGAGCTTCCTTGTCTCATCACCATCTCTCTCATCTGCATTTCCCTCCAGACTGGAGACTCCTGGCAGGGGCGGGGACCCTGTGGTGCCCAGCGGGGCCATGCTAAACTAGGTGACCTTGGTCTCATCATCACACCCAGTTTCCTTGTCTGAAACCTGGGGGAGAATGGCAGGAGCTGAGGGTGGAAAGGTCAGCTTGAAAGAAAGAAAGTAAAAGTCGCTTAGTCATGTCCGACTCTTTGCAACTCCATGGACTGTACAGTCCATGAAATTCATCAGGCCAGAATACTGGAGTGGGTAGCCTTTCCCTTCTCCAGGGGATCTTCCCAACCCAGGGATTGAACCAGGTCTCCCGCATTGCAGGCGGATTCTTTACCAGATGAGCCACCAGGGAAACCCAAGATCAGCTTGAGGTCAAGGTAAGGAGTGCAGGTTCTTTCCAAGGTCGGTGGGAAATCACAAGGCAGAGACATGATCTGATTAATGTTTGTAAAGCACCACTGAGGCTGCCGGGAGGGGAGTGGAAGCCAGGTGAGCAGCTAAGAGACTTGTCACATCCCAGGGGGGAGGAGCAGCGACCTGGTTGGATGAACAATGATGGGAAAGAAGAGAAGTGGTTGTAATAGGAACTTATTAACAGGACTGCTTGTGGGGCTCATAGATGAGAAAGAGTGGGTGGAAGATGCCACCCGTTACTGGCATAAGAAACTGAGGGATGCTGGTATATTGACAGAGATGGGGAAGGTGTGAGGGGATATCAGATGGGCATCAAGAGTTCTGAATAAGCTGGGCAAAGCGGAATTCTCTTCTGCTTGAGGCAGATAAAGGGTTAAGCCACCAGTCTGCCAGACAGCCTTGGACTGCTGGCCACTGGCTTGGGATCAGGAACAACTGACATGTCTCTTTGCTCTGCTCGCCTGAGTCCTGGCCTCTAGCCTGGGTGTCACCTCAGGGTCCAAAATAGCTGTTGGAGTGCCAACCATCACATCTTCATCCCAGGTGTGAAGCAGGAGAAAGAGGAGATGGGCAAAAATAAGCCTTTACAAGCTCTCTGCCCCCTTTTCAATGAGATTTCTGCAGAGCCCTGGCCAAATTCTCCTGTGGCTCACTGGTCAGAACTAGGTCACAGGCCACACCTGGATGCAAGGGAGGCTGGGAAGTGTAGTCTTTGGTGGGACAGATTTAAATCAGGGTTTCATTGGAAGGAAGAAAAAGGATGCAGATGTCTCTGCCACACTGTCTTTCTCCCATAGCCCTCCCACTCCCTGGCTGAACCATCCCCCCTGCCTCTTGTGTGGACACGTAAAACTCAGATTTCTTGCTCAGACCTGCAAGCCCTTCACCATCGGGCTTCTACTGCCATGCCCCACCTCTCCGTAGGACTTTCCTTTCCTTGTCCCCAGGCCTGATTTTCATCCCCAGGTGAAAGCCCTGTGGTGGTCACTCTGTGTTATCTTCAGTGTCCTGATCTGGGGCTGGAAGCAGGCCAAGGCCAAGGCACACAGCAGGAACGGTGTGGAGGTGCTTTCTGGGGCAGTGCACTCTCCCGGGGTTATTGGTGATGTGGAAGAACCAGTTCCGTTCACTGTGGGGGAGTTGTCACCACGGTCCCCTCAGGTGCCCCCCACCCCGCCCCTTGCAGATGGAAGCAGCCGAAGGACTCTGAGAGATGGGAGTGGGTGACTGAGCCATGAGTCCTGGACCGAGGAGGAGTTGCCGGCTGCACGGTCCCAGGAGCTGAACACGGCTCAGCTGTGGATAGCTCCGAGCTGCGAAAGGCACGTGGAGCGCGAACAAGGACTGTTCTCCGGGTTGATGTGGCCGGGGCAGGCGGCGGGATGTAGAGGCTGGTTTGGGGCAGATGGTCCTTGCGGAGCCCGCGGGGGCCTCTCTAAGCTGCCATCAGCCCCTGGTCCCCGTTCCTGGTGGGGAGGGTGTGGTTCAGAGAGGAGGGGAGGGAGGAGCCCCTGGGCACCACGCTCGGTGTGGAGATCAGGTCTTCTGGATGTAGCAGCCGGGGTTCAGAAAGGTTAAAGGGCCTAGTTGAGGTCACGAGGCTGACTCCTTCCGTTTCTTTCTCTTTTACTTATTCATCTATTTTTGGCTCGGCTAGGTCTTCGTTGCAGCCCGGACCCTCCTCTAGCTGGGGGGAAGTGGGGCCCGCTCTCTGGCTGCGG